GACAACTTGAATAGTATGTTTTGGTATGAAATAGCATGGATACCCGTTTCATTCTTCAGCTGCCTGATGAAAGCGACAGTTGAAAGGATATGACGTTGAAGCCAACTTATGTACACGTGTGTCAGTCTTCTTGAATATGTTGCTTACTGTTTTTTGTGACACCTTTACAGCTTTTGCCATTAAGCTGTGTGTTTGTCGATTATTGCTTGTTACAAGACGCCGGATTTTTCTTACCACTCCTGGGATACAAAACATTGCGGGTCTCTTTCTGGATGGTTCTGGTTACCTAAGTTGATCCAAATTCCTTTTTTCCAATATCATTAAGTGAAAGGGATATCTCCATCTTAGAAAGTTTAAATTCCCAACTTGAACATATCCTTATGATCTGAGCTTATGAATATTTTGCCTCGGAATGGGCATTTACATGGTATATCAAAAAGCGATCAATATCAACTTGTAAGTCCACCGCGGCTTTATATTGACTAAGGTTGATACATGACTTACTGATTTGAATATTTAAAACTTCTTTTGAATGTAACGTATTCAAATGTCTATATATGTGAATCCGTAACTAGGACACGATAAAACTATTGTACACCATATAAATGTATCTAATGTTTATAAATATGTATTATTCCTAAAACATCGTCAACTGGATGAAAAGTTTGCATATCCTACAACAATGCCTGATGCTTATTATTACATCTTAGTTACAATATTGTTATGATCAAGAACGTTAAGTAAACGTGTTAATAAAACAGAATAATTATATCCCAGTTATTCTGAATACCAAATACTTTTTTTTTATAAAACACAGTTCAGTTATCGGTCACTACTCATGTAAGAAATTGTAGGGGATTAACTTTGCAATTATTATCACAAAAACACTGATAACCATTATAAGAAATGTAACCGTTCAATGGTGTCGATGGCATTATCAACATTAGATACTCGTATAAGGTATGTAACATTTTTTGTGTGTGTCAGTGTCTTTCCAAAATCAGCAGAATTTGTTATGGACCGTTCATCATTGAGATAGATGTTGGAATCTATAGCATGTATCAAAACAAACGTTAGAATCTAAGTTTGAGGTAGATATTATATTAAATCTGATTCAGTGGTAGAGATAAAGCTGAAAACATACGTAAGGTTTTAAGGATACGGTAGAAACATACATCAATATATGAGATGTAAATGGTAAAGTTTCTCAAGAGTTGGAAAAGAAAAGAAAACTTGAAAACAGATGGAAAGGTACATAAGGAATTGAGGCATAGATGACAATATACGTCAGGAGTTGAGGCTGAAATGGAATTGCTCATCAACAGTTCAAACATACGTGGTGATGTTCATCAAAGATAAAGGTGGATGAGTACACAGAGTTATGGTAGAGATGGGTTGCTTATCAACAGTTCAAACATATGTGGCGATGTTCATCAAAGATAAAGGTGGATAAGTACACAGAGTTGAGGTAGAGATGGGTTACTTATCAACAGATAAAACATATGTGGTGATGTTCATCAAAGATAAAGGTGGATGAGTACACAGGGTTGAGGTAGAGATGGGTTACTTATCAACAGTTCAAACATATGTGGCGATGTTCATCAAAGATAAAGGTGGATAAGTACACAGAGTTGAGGTAGAGATGGGTTACTTATCAACAGTTCAAACATATGTGGCGATGTTCATCAAAGATAAAGGTGGATAAGTACACAGAGTTGAGGTAGAGATGGGTTACTTATCAACAGTTCAAACATATGTGGCGATGTTCATCAAAGATAAAGGTGGATAAGTACACAGAGTTGAGGTAGAGATGGGTTAC